GTTGTCTATCGGGGTCCTTGATGCAGAAGAACCTTTGCTGGATGTACATAGAGACGGCGTTACATGGAGTGAAAAGTTTAAAGTAATTATTGTAGTCCTTGATAGTGTTAAGCCTGGGTTCCGAGTGTACTGTATGCCAGAGGCTAGACTTCGCAGTCACGATTCCATAGTTAGGCCCTTCCGGGGCGCGTTGGTCCTGCTGGGACGGTGAGGGTCCAGCGCTGTGCGGATGGTCTAACAGTATGCCCCACGGTGGCCCTCCGTCATCGCCGGGACATGCACACGGGCACTACCGGCAGCACGAGGGGCCTAAGTGCCTAAGGTCCTAACCATTGTATGGTAATGAAGTGCATGAGCAAGGACTGTGTGCCCTTACGGGCCGGGCCGGGCGTGGCGCGGCCCCGGAGACACCCTGGTCGACGTCGACAACGTCGTTGCGCAGCCCGCGGGGCGGGAGGACAGCCCGCCGGGCCGCATGCGCTTACACGTGTTGGATTGTCACACACTTCAAAGTGCGCGGTAAAGTAGTTCATTTGAAACGTATAAACCCCTGCCATGTTGCCTTAGTGTGGTGGGGTTGGCTAACTCGCGTCGCGGGAGGTGTGCATGTGACTCGCACACGCGACACGGTTCTGCCGCGGCACACGAGCGTGACAGCGTGACGGTTGCGAGAGCGCTGCGTGACTGCTGCGTGACTGCGCCGCGCGTCGAGCCAAGAACCATCCAAGGAAGGGTCGGTTCAAAGACGATTCAAAGAAACTAACTAAAACCAAACCCATGGTTTCTTCTGAGAATACTGAACTGGACTTGTCCATACTGTTATTCAAACACTGTGATGTGACATTCAGTTGGATGTGAGTTTCATCACGTTGCCTAAGTAATCAAATTTCAATTTAACTTGACTTACATTTTCCTCGCTTTGCTCTAACAGCTACACTCAAAATGAGTAGAGACAATTTTTCCACTTTGAAGTCGCGCAAGACGTGCAGCGGGTCCACTTTTCATAATGAATGGGTCCCGTTATGTTTCATTTGTTTCCCCCTCGCTCGACCTTGAGCAGGGCTGAGAGAATTTCTGGCATTATTCCCCCCCATTTCTCTATCTCTCTTCCTCTCTTCATTTCCCTTTATCTCCTTACCCCGTGTTGCATTATTCCTGATGATGTGAATCCCGCAGGCCAAAGGCTGGCATGCGCCGTCGCCCC